ATGTATCATACTGTAATGTTCTCCAGATCACTTTCTCATTTGACATACTTTTTGAGGTTGTATCCATGTTTTAACTGTTACATGGTGTTTCGAAATACATATATTATCATTTTCCATTTCACTAATGATGGATATTGAGTTTTTTCAATTGTTTCCTATTCATGTAAAATATTTGTATAGATATCCTTGTGCATATATGCAAGAATTTTTTTTAACATGTATACTGGGTCACTTACCAAACAATACCAATTTACCTCCTTACTATGAGTGATGAATTTTCTCTTTGCTCCACGTTCTTACCAACACTAGATATGGCCAGTCTTAACCATTTTTGCCACTGTGAAGGGTGGTACTATAATTTACATTTCCCTGACATTTTAAAAATGGTGTATTCTTTCATATTTATTAAATTTTATTTACTGTTGTGACTGCCCACTATTTTATAAACTTTAATTATTGGATTTTCTTTCCCTCAATGATGTGCAAATTTTTAGATAGCCTACTGTATTCATTTTATTTATACATACATATATATAATAATTTTTATATGTGTGTGTGTTAGTGTGTGTGTGTATGACACTTCTTTGTTTATGGAAGTTTTGTCCTCTAGATTTTAATGTAGATAAATTTATCAATCTCTGGATTATGATCTCCACTATTTATATCTAAGAAATTCTTTCCTCTCCCTAGGTCATAAAGGCTTTTATTTTCATTTTTCTTTTCATATTTTTATTATTCTGTTTTTCATACTTTCTTTTTTCTATTCAATTATTATTGGAATATAGTAACACTGTTTAATTTTATATAACAATCTCATATCTAAAAACCTTAATTCTGGTATTCTAATATTTTATCTAGAAGTTCCTTAGAATTTTCCATTTAGAAGAACTTATATTACCAAACACCAACATTTAAAATTTATTTAACATTTGATTTTATAAAATAAACCCTTAATATGGAAATGTTCAAACACAAAAGACAATATAATTAATCCCCACTTTTCTGTCACCCAGTTGAACAATCCACTATTCCTATTTTATCTATCCTCCTTACAATACATTTTTCATTTTGCCTTTTTTTCTCTTTTTTTGGCAGAGAATTTGAAAACAAATCTCACACATTTTATTTTATCAATAAATACTTTACTTTGTGTATCTCTAAAGAGAGAAGGCCTTTTCTTATTTTTCAAAAGAATTATACCATATAATACCCAACAAAATCAACAATTCTACAATATCATCTAATACCTATTCCATGTTCAATTTTCTGTCTCAAAAATGCCTATTAACAGTTCGTTTGTTAAAAATCAGGATCCAGGGGCTGGGGCTGGGGCTCAGCAGTAGTGTACTTGCCTGCATTCGTGAGGCACTGGGTTCGATTATCAGTACCATGTATATATAAATAAATAAAATAAAGGTCTATCAACAACTTAAAAAATATTTTTTTAAAAATCAGGATCCAAATGAGGTCATCACATTGCATTTATTTTATAAGACACTTCCTTTTTGCTTTCTTCCTCCATACCATTTGTTGAAGAATCAGAATCATTTGTCCTATAGAATTTCCCATTTTGTCATTCCACTGATTGTATCTTCATGGTGATGCTTAATTTTTTTTCCTTGTCATTTGCACCTACAGACTTGGATAGTTTTTGCTTCAGTTTTTGTTTTTGCAATGATGCATCAAAGCTACTTTCTTGCATCATATCAGAAGGCATATACATATTGTCCCACTTTTAGAGATATCAAGATTTATCAGTGAGTTCAGAATCCCACACCACCTCCTTTGTTTTATTATAATGACTAAGACCTCTGCTACATAATATTGAGGATAAGGGCAAGTGTAGGCATCTTTTGACTTGTTTCCAATTTTAATTGCATTTCATTTAAAAGTTTTGCCATTAATTTCTTTTCTGTATTTTTCGTATACATTGACTAAGGAAGCTTCCTTCCCTTCTGTTATCAAGCTTTTTAAATTTTGTTTTAAATTTTGAATGTTATTTAATCTTTGTTCTTGAATCTATTCCTCATTCTCTTTCATCTTAAACCGTTGGAACAGAAATGAAATTTGAAAAAGAACTTTTGTCTAGGGAAGTACCACTCTTTGATATAAATAAGAGGAGCCTCTGTCCTGTACCCATACTTTAGAGACTTAGCAGTAATTTGTGACTCTCTCCTCCGGGTAAAAATCCATGGTACCAAAGTATACACATACATACACACAAGTTCCTCATAATGCAGAACAATCAAAGGGTGGGGAGAAAGAAGAGGAAGCCTGTGGATCAGAAGCTAACT